AGTGCAGATTTCGTGGCAGGCACAGCACTTTGTGAACCTCCATGGGCAGATTGCGTGGCAGGCGAAGTACTTCGTGAACCTCCATGGGCAGAGTTCGTGGCAGGCGCAGCACTTTGTGAACCTCCATGTGCAGGTTCCGTGGCAGGCGAAGTACTTTGTGAACCTCGATGTGCAGATTGCGTGGCAGGCGAAGTACTTCGTGAACCTCCATGGGCAGATTTTGTGGCATGCACCGCACTGTGTGAGCCTCCATGCCGTGGCAGGCGCGGCACTTTGTGAACCTCCATGTGCAGATTGCGTGGCAGGCACAGCACTTTGCGAACCTCCATGTGCAGATTGCGTGTTGCACTTTGTGAACCTCCATGTGCAGATTTCGTGGCAGGCGCAGCACTTTTGTGAACCTCCATGTGTACGGACTGGACAGCTCGCCTGCAGACTGGCACTCGTACCGGGATGATGCGCGGCAGAGCATGCGATGGTGGGCGCTTGATGACCGCTACCGGCGCTGCTGAAGATGATTTTGTGAATGTCATGGGCGATGGCAGCACCCTCTCCTATGTGGACGACTTCGTTGTCACTGCACCTCATGTGGTGGCTGGGCAGTTTTTGAAGAAGCTGCCCTCAATGTGGAAGTGCGCTCCACCTACATGGGTGACTGAGGGTAGATGGCTAAAGTTCTGTGGCACCGAAATGCGATGGCAAGGGTCGGATCTGTTGATTGGTCAGCCGGACTATGCCAGAGAGATTGTGAACAGGTATCCTGACCTACTATCCACCACCTTGGACTATGCCCTGGCGTACTCTCCGTGCTCTGCTGTGGTTGATCAATATGGCAGGGCACAGGCGCTTAGCAAGGTGGGGGTTCTGGCCGACTCGTCGTTTGCTCTACTGGTGGCAAGGGTGGTGCGCTTGGGGTCTGGGAATCCAAAACACAGGCCTTTGCAACTTTGAATAGCACCGAATGTGAGTTGCTGGGCTACGTGGATGGCCTCACCCCGTTGGGGCGGTGGTGAACGTGTTGGAGCTGAATGGATTGTCTCCACAGGGCTCCTATGTGCTCCGAGGTGACAACCTTTCACGTTTGCAGCTGCTCCATGCCCCAAGTGGTCCCTGGAGAACAGGCATCTACGGTTGCGCAGCCATGCTGAGGCGATTGGCATGAGATCGGCATCCCTGCAGCTACCCCCAAATGAGCGGCCGCTGTCCAAGATGAGGCAGATTGCCTGTGGAGCTCCCTTGGCTTGATTGCTGCTGTTCTGGAATGAGAGCGGTTGTTCGGCTGGTTTCACCAGTAGGTTTGGCTGCCCTCACTGCTTTTGTAGGAAGTGTCCTGAACAACACGGCCCATGGCCAGTCAACCAAGAAGCCTGAGGTATTCCAAAAACAAATGAAAGAAGATGGTCGAGGGAAGATGACCCGGCGCAACAGCAGATGGATCCTTCCAGGGTGTTGGATCAAAACCTGCTTCGCACGTCGCTCGCCCACTTTCGTTCGACACGTGCCACCTTCGCACCCGACCTGATCCCCAGCGGCGACCAGCGAAGCCATGGTTTTGGGCGCCTGTGCGCCTTGAAGATGCCGGTCAGGCATCGTGGACTGGGCTCGGATGAGCCTTGGCTGACAGGTTCCAGTCTCCGCCGACGGGCGTGGACCGATGGGAGTGCTTGGGTTGTGGCCTTGGCGGTGGCGAGGGTTCTGAGGGAAACAAAATTTAAAAAAAGAACGCGTTCGTCACTGTTGCCTTCTCCCGAGGAGGAACTCTCGAGAGCTTTGGCGCAGAAAGGTCTTCACTGACAATTGGATTGAGAATGGCAACTCGGATGTGGAGGGCGTCCACGTAGGCACACCTTTTTCTACGTGAAGTTTGCCGTCCAGGCCGAAGATGCAACAAGAGAAGAGGTTGAGGCCAGTCATGAGCAGGGCCCCATTCCCCCTCCTGGAACGGTGTCGTCCCGGCACCATGGCTATGGGAGCTCCAGTCCGGAGCTATCAAGAGCGGCTGGCAAGCTGCTCTGCCGTCCTCGACCTCGGAGATCTCGATTGAAGATGGAACCTGCTCGAGACTCTGCGGACCACCTGGGTGGGGACATTGGTGGCTACGCTGCTCGCTTGGCGGGCTATGAGGGTCGGCGTGAGCTGGATTCATCGCGTCCGGCCTGGCTGGGAATTTCGACGGCAATGCCGGCCGCCGTGTGAACATAGCTCGGACTCTGACGGCAGTTTCGAGTTGATGCCTCCTGCGGATGCAGGGGGGGTGTGAGTGTGGAAAAAGAAGGGTGCCTTTGATCATTCACGATCGCATCCATGCAGGCACACGGAAAGCCAAGCGCCGTGTAACCCTGTCACTTGAGGCCCATTTTCATAACCGCAAAATCAATCCTGCGATCTCAATGCCCGAAGCTCCGATCGCCTCAATCACATCTACTCTAAGCCCGTTCACAAAGTGCTTCGCCTGCCACGTAAACTGGAGCTAGAGCTGTTGAAACTGGAGCTAACTGGAACTAGCACTATTGAAACTAGAGCTACCTGGAGCTAGAGCTATTGCAACTAGAGCTAACTGGAGCTAGAGCTATTGAAACTAGAGCTAATTGGAGCTAGAACTATTGAAGCTAGAGCTACCTGGAGCTAGAGCTCTTGAAACTAGAGCTAACTGGAGCTAGAGCTCTTGAAACTAGAGCTAACTGGAGCTAGAGCTCTTGAAACTAGAGCCAACTGGATGAGGAGTGGTGTATGATGAGTGGTGTCTGATGAGTGGTGTCTGATGAGTGGTGTCTGATGAGTGGTGTATGATGAGTGGTGTATGATGAGTGGTGTATGAGGAGTGGTGTCTGATGAGTGGTGTATGATGAGTGGTGTCTGATGAGTGGTGTATGATGAGTGGTGTTTGATGAGTGGTGTATGATGAGTGGTGTTTGATGAGTGGTGTATGATGAGTGGTGCTTGATGAGTGGTGTATGATGAGTGGTGTATGAGGAGTGGTGTTTGATGAGTGGTGTATGATGAGTGGTGTATGATGAGTGGTGTATGAGGAGTGGTGTTTGATGAGTGGTGTATAATGAGTGGTGTATGATGAGTGGTGTATGATATGTTGTGTATGATGAGTGGTGTATGATGAGTGATGTAAATCTACTCTACTACTCTACTACCCCTACTACCCCTACTACTCCTACTACTCCTCCTCCTCCTACTACTACTACTACTACTACGACTACTACTACTACTACTACCACTACTACTACTACTACTACTACCACTACTACTACTACTACTACTACTACTACTACTACTACTACGACTACGACTACGACTACGACTACGACTACGACTACGACTACTACGACTACTACGACTACTACGACTACTACGACTACCACGACTACTACGACTACTACGACTACTACGACTACTACGACTACTACGACTACTACGACTACTACGACTACTACGACTACTACGACTACTACGACTACTACGACTACTACGACTACTACGACGACGACTACTACGACTACTACGACGACGACTACTACGACTACTACGACGACGACGACTACCACTACCACTACCACCGCCACTCAGCCACTCAGCTACTCAGGCTTTCCTTCCTGTCAGCCACTCAGGCTTTCCTTCCAATCAGCCACTCAACCACTCAGACTTTTCTCCCTGCCAGCCACTCTGCCACTCAGGCTTGTTTTTTCCTCTCAGCCACTCAGACATTTCTTCCTGTCAGCCACTCAACCACTCAGGATTTTGTTCCTGTCAGCCACTCAGCTACGCTATCTTCGTGTCAGCCACTCAGCCACTCAGGATCTTGAGTGGCTGAGTGGCCGGTCAGGATCTAGAGTGGCTGAGTGGCCGCCGTGAACCGCGACCCGGATTGCACATACTCTCAGATTCCATGTGGGTTGATTGCTTTTTGTTTCCGGTGTTGTTTTGGGCAATGTTCTCTGCAGCTTCAAGCTGGGCTCGTGACAGGGATGAAGAGATGAACTCGTTAGGGGGATGCTAACCGCATTGAATTCTGGAAGCGAGGCCCTGGCGTTACATTCAGGAAACTTCATATAGTTTCTCTAATCTTCGCTCCTGCAAACCAGCATCAGGCCCCTTGTTTTTATTGAAAACTTCGTTCCACGGCCAGGGTGCGGCCATAGCAGCTTTGTCAACAGCAGGGCCAGATGACGTCAACGCATCCCGCCTGCAGTTATGCCATTTGATGCTGCTCTAGGCTTCACAGCCCAGTGATTTGTGATTTATCCGCTTCGAGCGATTCTGCAGTAGGCGCTGGATGCTGAAGGTCGTTCACTACTCTTGATCGGCGCGGTTTCCCGGTTCAGCGGGCCATTCGAACATCACAGGTGAGTGACTGTAGACAATTATGCTCTTTCCGTTGAGACGGGTGTAGCATATCGGAACAAGGATTCAAATATGTTACACAGCGAGTGCCACTTTGGAATCGGCTCAAGTTCTGCTCAAGTTCCGTAGCTTGGCGCGGTGGTTGGTCGGTGGCCGTGCCATGCGCAACACTGAAACTTCGCAGCATTGCTTGCCATAGAAGTGTGAACTCAGCTAGAATACTTAACGACTTAACGCGTGGATCGCGCTGTGCTGAGTGGCCATTTGTGCCATTGCTCGGTGTGGTGCCCTAAGGGCAGCCAAGAAGTTCTGACCCCGGAAACTGTGGGCCCAGCACTTCTGGAAGATGTCCGCGACGTCGAAGTGATCGATGTGCACACGCACTTATTGCACCTCAATGGCACGTGTGTCCGTTGCTTGTGGTTTTAGTTTGTGATTTAAGATGAGTGACAGGCCGTGCTTGAACTCGTTGTTTTTCCCACTGGCAAGTGGCAACTTGCAGCAGTGCCAGCAGACTGCCACCAGCCAAGGCCACCGTCTCATGGAAAGTTGATGTTGTGGGGTATTGATGAATTGCTAACTTACCACTACTTGGTGCAACTTACTTGCATAGTGTGGTTTCTCAATGTTCTGAATGTTGTGTCGAAATGGAGCAGCGCGAGAGATCCTTTTGGCAAATAAGGTCTGAATATTTCATGGTTGCGCCAGCAGAGATCACGCACGAACTTTTCTTCGCCAAGACCAAACTAGAGCAATCTGACCTTGCTGCTTTGCAAAAACCATTCTGCTTCCGGGGGGTGCTTTCCAAAGCAGCTGAGCGGAGTATTGCTGCATTTTTGTCCCGGGCTTGCAAAGTTAAAGGCCTAATTTCTAGCGGCTTTGGCTTGGGCTACTTGGTGTTGTGTACATAAGGTCATTCTCATTTTGCGAGTTCGGGGTTGCTTCAGGTTTGGCAGGGGCTGTTTGTGGAGCGCTCGCCCATTTCGGAGGCTTGCCAAGGGGTGATTACGACTTTGCAGAGGCGAGGCGCACACACTCACACACACTTATAGAAATGCATACTGATGTGAATGCGGTTTGCCACTCGCCGGCCTGAGTTTTAAAAAACCTGAGATACCAGGACAAGTAGTAGGTTAAAAAGGCCATCGCTTTCAGGTTGGAGGTCATAGCAAGGCCGTTGGAGGTCAACGCCTAAGGTTGGAGGCCATCGCTAGTAGGTGGTAGGTAGTACGCACAAGCAAACAAAAGTGACAAGTAGTAGGTTAAAGGCCATCGCTTTTAGGTTGGAGGTCATCGCAAGGCCATTGGAGGTCAACACCTAAGGTTGGAGGCCGTCGCTAGTAGGTGGTAGGTAGTACGCACAAGCAAAACAAAAGTGACAGCGAGCAGCAAGGTTGGGGGTCATCACTCTTAAGTTGGAGGCCGACGAGGGCAGGTTGAGGGGCCACCGCCAGTAGGTTGGTGACAAGAAACACAAGAAACACAAGACAGCCAAAGTTAGGGGCCAATGCTAGTGGGTAGAGGCCAAAGAGTTCGGTTGAAGGTCCACATTACAAGGTTGGGGGCCTAACTGCAAACCTATAGAGTAGACTACAGGAAACAGAAGGAAAGGCACCGACACACAAGTGTGTCGAGTGCCATTTCCTCCTGTTTTCCTAAATAGTGGAGCAGGTGCGCAGGGCTGCTTCCCACTCTCGCCCACAGCTTCATTGCGTGTGGTAGGGCGAGAGTGCCACACCCCCCTGAGACAGACAAAAAGTGTATGTGGTTGCCGATGAAGAAGAACCAAGTGAAGAGGGACAACCGATGAGCCAAACCTCATTGCAACAAATCTGGGCCACCTGAACCTAGTTGTAAGTAGAATACGCGTGCGCGTATGTGTACAAGCTAAGGTCCGGACGAAGGTGCGCGCAAGAGATCGAAAGGATGAGGATGAAGAGACATGAAGACAGAAAGACATGAAAGAAAAGAAAGGATGACGTTTGTAGGGGCCAATGAAAGGGGGACCAAATGAAAGGGGACAAACCGATGACAAACCAAACCTCATTAAGAAACCTGTTGCAGAAGCCTTGTTTGCTTGTAGGCACGCCGCGCGCGAGAAAGGAAGGGGGGGAAGGGGAGGAAGAAAAGAGAAGGAGAGAAAGGAGAAGGTGCTCCCAGCTACGACGCAAGCGTCCAGGGACACACCAAAAAGGAAGGGCCCCCAGCTATGACGAAAGCATCCAGGGACACCCAAGGAAGAAGGAAGGCGAAGAAAGGAAAGAGAGAGAGAGAGAGCGCTACGAGCACCCGTCAGGGACACACCAGTGAGAGAGAGGGGTGTACCTGAGTATTACATTCAGGAACACCCCAAAAGGGAAGGGAGAAGGGAAGGGTAGGGGGGAGGAAGGGAGTTAAGGTCCCGACAGACTCCAACGGGTCTTGAACAAGCTTCGGCCGCTGCGGCCGCGTACGCCCTGCCAAAATGGCTGGCAGCTTAGACCGCTGCGGCCACGTAAAGGCATGAGCCAGCTTGGAATTCAATACATCAGCAAGTCTTGGCAAATAACTTTGGCCTAAGCCTACTTTGTCCGCTTCGGACACCCACGTTCCCCGGCAGGGGGAACAATAACGAACACCCCGTTCAACGGGTCCACAGGGGCCACTCTGCGGGGGCACCCTGGGCTCTCACTAGGAGAGACACACTTATAGAAATGCGTACTGATGTGAATGCGGTTTGCCACACGCCGGCCTGGTTTTAAAAAAGCTTGAGATACCAGGACAAGTAGTAGGTTAAAGGCCATCGCTTTCAGGTTGGAGGTCATCGCAAGGCCGTTGGAGGTCAACACCTAAGGTTGGAGGCCATCGCTAGTAGGTGGTAGGTAGTACGCACAAGCAAACAAAAGTTGTAGGTTAAAGGCCATCGCTTTTAGGTTGGAGGTCATCGCAAGGCCGTTGGAGGTCAACGCCTAAGGTTGGAGGCCGTCGCTAGTAGGTGGTAGGTAGTATGCACAAGCAAAACAAAAGTGACAGCGAGCAGCAAGGTTGGGGGTCATCACTCTTAAGTTGGAGGCCGACGAGGGCAGGTTGAGGGGCCACCGCTAGTAGGTTGGTGACAAGAAACACAAGACACACAAAACAGCCAAAGTTAAGGGCCAATGCTAGTGGGTAGAGGCCAAAGAGTTCGGGTTGAAGGTCCACATTACAAGGTTGGGGGCCTACCTGCAAACCTATAGAGTAGACTAGGGGAAAACAGAAGGAAAGGCACCGACGCACAAGTGTCGAGTACCATTTCCTCTTGTTTTCCTCAATAGTGGAGCAGGTACGCAGGGCTGACCAGGCCTTGCTACAGCTTCGTTGTGTGTGGTAGGGCGAGGGTGCCACATGCCCTTGCTCCAAACCGAAAGGTTCCCTGTGAATCCAAGGGTTACACACACATGCACACACACACACACCGCACTGCACAGTGTTTTTTACGCTTCGACGGTTGGAGTTGAGCCCACGATGACTTGAGCCCAGACTGGGCCTTTTTAGAGGCAAAAACTTGTGGTTTTTAGGTTCCAAGTTGACAAAACAACCTCGACGTTGTGATGCAGCATCACCAGGTTAGGCTTGGAGAGGCAAGTTGCAGACAGAGATTTGAGAGGCATCCGAGCCTGGTTCGCTCAACAATCCCTGGACCCGGCTTTGCGGAAGAGAGAGCTGCAACGCTACTAGTTTGGAGGTGCAAGATGGTGTATGCAAATTATCTTTCACTTACATACCATAGCATGGCCTTGTTTGGGCTTGGTTTTTGTTGGCTTGGCCCGGGCCTTGAGAAGAGATGCCTAGACTAGGTGTTGTGAAGGCGCGCGTAGGCCATATTGCGTTTAGCGGAGTTTGCAGAAACGTCAAAGGTGTCATGTGGCCCTGATTGAGATTGGCAGTGCCTTTTGCAACAAGTCTTGGCGCATACAGATCATACAGTTCTAGGCATTCGGCACTAACGAACAAGGAGTTCCCTCTGCATGTTTGGAGACAACGGGCAAAGGTCAAGGGATGCGTGAAAACAAAACCTTGTCAGAGGACGAGCACGTGGAGAATATCTTTCGCCTTGCCAAAGTGCGGTACGCTGTCATGACGAACATCCCTTACGTAGAGGACTGCGGGCTGCAAGAGGTTCGTCACCCTGAGCTTGAGCACGTATGAAGTGGCTGAACTCAAGCAGAAAAGTTGGTAAACCATGCACACACACATGAATTTACACTGCCGTGACGAATAAGAAGGAACCATCACATGGATGGCTATAGCTATGGCCATGGGTGAACTGGGCTATATAAACACAAACAAATATATAGTAATAACTGGGACACACAAGTTTATCTAATTGTTTTTGTTTTTTTAAATCCCGCACCTGGGGTGCAAGTTGATGGGGTTCTGAGTGTGGGGATCCAAGTGGATTGGCTTGCTCGCAGTATGTGCAAGGAGGAGGCCCAGCACTGGCAACCAGAAGCGAAACCTGTGACGTCCCGCTTGCGCAATTTGGTCCTGTTGGAGCGGAAACTGAAAAAACAGGGAGGTGCAAGAAACTCTTATTGTTTCACTTCTTCTCGTTCCTACTAGCTTCTTGTTACTACTAGTAAGGCCCTTGCTCCTAGTAGCG